CACTGCAATCTTCTTTCCTTAAAGGAGCCAAAATTTTCTTTCACCTGCTGGTCCAGACAAAACCTCTCCAACCTTGAAGGGTGCAAGGAGGGGACCTCTAATGAGGTACTTCTTGAACTATACATTAGCGCTTCCTGTTTGTAATATAAAATTCCATTTTCTAGTCATAAAGGTAACTAAGACAGTTGCGTGTGTATAAATGTTAGTAAATAAAAATCATATTATATGCTCACCCAAGGCTTCTCACAAGCTTTGCAAATTCTAAAAGGCAGGTGTTTGAAGGCAGACAAAGTTGTCCTTCAGCCAAAGCTAGCTGGCAGTCTTCAAATGTGTAGTCTGTTACTGAAACTCCCAAGGCCCTTGAGTAAAGAAACCCGATACAATAAATATAATCTCTTTTGATACACACAAATCTATCATTTACACACACACACACACACACACACACCTCTTTATTACCTTGGCTGTGTACAGCATTAAACCCTATACAAATATATCAAAGCAAAAATTTAAAAAGTGAATAGCCAACGGAGCAAATGTACGTACAAAAAACAAAAGATACATTCTATGAAAACTTGCTGCAGAATGTTTACTTTGACTCTTCAGATACAAGTCCAAGGAGATACAAAAAAAAGAACACTAAGGATAATATAAAAGTAGAACAAAAATAAGGAAATAAAATTCACATAAAAGCTTCCTGAAGTATGACCAAGGAAAAAGTACCACTGACCTACAGGGTCCCAAAGCCCGAGCTCCAGCCCCAGCCCAGATCTCTACACAGCAATGAAACATCCCCACAGCCCGATCCCCTGCAAGCCCAAGTCAGCTGGCACGGGCCAGCCACGGGTTTTTCTTTGCTGTGTAGACATACCCAGAAACTGAGGCGGGCAGTGTCCTAAGGTGAAATTGACCAGGAATCCCAGAGCTGAGGTAAAATTGAGGAAGGCTCCTTACTCATAGGTGAAACTGACAAGAATGCTTGTGAAAGTGATGATGGCAGCCTATAAGAAGGCAACATTTGCTGTTTATGATTCACAAAACATTATAAAATGGATGCAAGAGTGGAGGACCTCAATATAGCTGCTTTGCAGATTTCCTCATGAAAACAATATTTCTCCCTCCTTTCTCACTCCCGAAAAAGTTAAAAATAGGTCATGTAGAGAGAGCTTTTAGACTAAGAAGAAAGGTTTTCTTTCTTATAAGAACTAATAATTGCTCCTCAGACATAGTGGCAATAATTGCTTTCAAAGCTTTGAGACCTCAGTTCATGCCAGCATAGGTGATTAAAGAAACACCCATTTTTTGGAAATACTTTTTCTGCCTAAGTAGAATTTTATAGCTTAACAGATTTAGGTAATGCCACCTTACTTCCCAGGGCTGGCTCTAGGCACCAGCCGAGCAAGCTGGTGCTTGGGGTGGCAGCTTGTAGGAGGCGGCATTCCGCCCAATCCTAGGGCGGCACGGCCGCTTTTTGTTGTTGTTGTTCTGCTCTGGCCGCCCTGTAGGGGGCAGCAGCGTGGAGGACTGGAGCGCCCTGCAGCAAGCCCAGCAAGGCAGCCTGCGTCCTTCCCTCCCCGCTGACCGGAGTGGTGCAGAGCCCTCCTGGCAGGGGGCACGCCCCGCTAAAGCCCTGGCCGCCCCCCTTCTCTCTCTCCCCCAGCTCCCTCCCCCCACTAGCAGGGGCACATTTGCAGCGCAGGAAGTCCCCCAGCACCCTGGCTCTGGCCGTGCGGTTTTTTTTTGTTTTGCTTGGGGCAGTCAGAAAGCCAGAGCCGGCCCTGTTACTTCCTTAGGAGGATTAGAGCAGAATGAAGACAGTGTAATCTCATGCTTTAGATGATAAGGTAACACTGATTTAGGAAGCAATACAGATGTTCTCCAAAGAACTACATTGTCAGGAAAGAACTCAAGGCTTTCTTAAAGGATAAGGGAAGCAATTCACTGGATCTTCCTTGCCCAAATTATGACCCCAAAGAATGCAACTTTAAGTGACAAGAACAATAAAGTACCCACCATTGATTTAAAAGATTATTTCCTTAACCATCCCAGTTCCACGTTAAGCTTCCAACTCATAACAAGTACTTTAACTGGAAGAGTAAGTTTTGCCACTGCTTTGATGGATCTGAACATGTGAGGGTGAGAAACTAAACTCTTATTTTGGATGAATGGAGGGCCTCCCCCAAAGGCAGTCACTATAAGGACCGATAAGATGCCAAGGCTCAGATATTTAATGAAGCCATCAAAAAAGAAGCAAAGTTAGGTTGGCATATACCGATTTTGCAGTGAGGCCATATCCAGATAAATTCATCTAATTCAGGTAAACAGAGTCACATGATAAATGAGAACCCTTTCTCGAGGGGTCTCATCAGGATATAAATTATGAATAGCTAGTAATGGGTCTGCTATGACCAATGGAGCTGTGTTGATTAAGGCAAGGGGAATAATTTTGGCTGGTAGGACGGGGCTTACCCCAAGTAACTCAAACATGCCTGGAGAGTATCCTTTGACCACAGACCCTAACTTTTTTCCATGGTCTTCTAGATTTCCTCTCCTGAGGGACTAAGGCAGGGGTCTCAAACGCATGCGGCCCGCGGGGTTGTTTTCTGCGGCCCGCGAGCTCCTCGCGCCGCCCCCCCTGCGTTTACCTAGAGCGGCTCCAGCCCGACGCGCACAGGGGGGAAGGGCAGTTCCCCATTCCCGGCCAATGGGAGCTGCTGTGGGCGGTGCCTGAAGCAACAGCAACACACAGACCCCTGTGCCCCTCCTCCCCCAGGTTCTGGCCACTTCCCGGAGCAGTGTGGGGACAGGCAGGCAGCCTGCCCTGCCCCCGGTGCGTGTCGGGCCAGAGCCCGCCCCCCGAGCCCCTCCTGCAGCCCAACCCCCTGCTGTACCCCGCACCCCTCCTGCACCCCACACCACAACTCCCTGCCCTGAGCCCCACACCTCTCCTGCCCTCCCTGGGGGCAGGAAGGGGGCAGAGTTGGGGTGGGGATTTCAGAGAAGGGGTTGGAATGGGGGCAGGGCCTCATGGAAGGGGCGAGGCCAAGGGTGGCGGGGGGAGGTGTCAGTAATGCGGCCCTCGGCCAATGTACTAGTCCTCATGTGGCCCTCGTGGTCATTTGAGTTTGAGACCCCTGCACTAAAGCTTCTGGTGGCCAAGGTCTGGTGTCAGCAGACACTCTCAGCACCCAATGCCACCTCTTCAGAGGGACATGTGATGGCTACAACTCACAGATGCAAGAGAAAGAGGGAGGGGGAAACTCTAAGGTCTGGAGTCCAGCTTGTGATGGGTCTAGGTGAGAGAAATGCATTGGTAGACTGAACCAGAGTATACACAGTGGGAGCAAATAGGTGCTAAAACTCTGATCCCTCAGTACCTATCTGAGTGGCTGGTCAATAGTCTTTCACACTTATAATGGATTGCCAATGATTGGAAATTAACTTCTAAACCTTATGAAATTTGCTCAACATTAGAGCTAACTAACAAGAGGAATCTAACCAAAGTTTTTATGAAGTACATGAATCCATGTGACTAATAAGCAAGCAGCAATTGCTATACACAAATTTTAATATTCGTGCCTCCAGTGGTAAGCAGAAGCAGATACCCAACAATTCCCTGGACAGGCAGAAGGCAAATACATGAGAAATTTAAATTGCAAGTGCAACCTTATTTTCTTTAGTTACATGAACGTAGAATCATACAATCATAGGACTGGAAGGGGCTTTGAGAGGTTCTCTAGTGCAGTCCCCTGCACTCATGGCAGGACTAAGTATTATCTAGACCACCTCTGACAGGTGTTTGTCTAACCCGCTCTAAAAATCTCCAGTGATGGAAATTCCACAACCTCCCTAGGCAAGTTATTACAGTGCTTAACTACCCTGACAGTTGGGAAGTATTTCCTAATATATAAACAGCCCTTGCTGCGACTTAAGCCCATTGCTTCTTGTCCTATCCTCAGAGGTTAATGAGAACCATTTACCTCTCAGCACCCAATGCTTGTAACAATCTTTTATGTAGGTGAAAACTTATGTCCCTCGTCAAGTCTTCTCTTCTCCAGACTAAAACCCAATTTTTCAGTCAAGGTCATGTTTTCTAGATCTTAATCATTTTTATTGCTCTTCTGTGGATTTTCTCCAATTTGTCCAAAACTGTCCTGAAATGTGGTGCCCAGAACTGGACACAATATTTCAGTTGAGGCCTAATCAGCACAGAGTAAAGCAGAAGAATTACTTCTCGTGTCTTGCTTACAACACTCCTGCTAATACATCCCAGAATGATGTTTGCTTTTTTTGCAACCGTGTTACTCGACCCATATTTAGCTTGTGATCCACTGACCCACAGATTCCTTTCCGCAGTACTCTATCCTAGGCAGTGTTTTTTCATTTTGTACATGTGCAACTGATTGTTCTTTCTTAAGTGGAGTATTTTGCATTTGTCCTTATTGAATTCCATCCTATTTACTGCAGACCATTTCTCCAGTTTGTCCAGATCATTTTGAATTTTACTCCTACCCTCCAAAGTATTTGCAACCCCTCCAAGCTTGGTATTGTCCACAAACTTTATAAGGTTACTCTCGATGCTATTAACTAAAACATTGATGAAGATATGGAACAGAACCAGACCCAGAACTAATCCTTGCGGGTTATCCCACCCAATATGCCCTTCCCGCTTGACTGTGAACCACTGATAACTACTCTCTGGAAATGGTTTTCCAACCACTTATGCACCCACCTTATAGTAACTCCATCTAGGTTATATTTCCCTAGTTTGTTTATGAGAAAGTCATGCAAGACAATATCAAAAGCCTTAATAAAGTCAGGATTACCGCATCTACTGCTTCCCCCCATCCACAAGGCTTGTTACGTTGTCAAAGGAAACTATCAGGTTGGTTTGACATCATTTGTTCTTGACTAATCCATGCTCACTGTTAATTATTATCGTATTATCTTCTAGGTGTTTGCAAACTGATTGCTTATTTGCTCCATTATTTTTCAGGTACTGAAGTTAAGCTGACTGGTCTGTAATTCCCCAGGTTGTCCTTATTCCCCTTTTTAGAGGCTGGCACTATATTTGCCCTTTTATAGCCCTCTGGAATCTCTCTGGAATCCATGACTTTTCAAGATAATCGCGATGCATGAGGCTTCAGACAGAGGACCGGTAAGTAAATATCTTGGCCAGTGTGGAACTCGGAAATGACCTTGGGCTCAGATACCTCCTCAGTCAGCTCCTTGATTATTCTAGGATGTATTTCATCAGGCCCTGGTGACTTGAAGACATCTGTCTTGTCTAAATAATTCTTTACTTGTTCTCTTCTTATTTTAGGCCTTGGCAGCGCTGTGAAGTGCAAGTGTAGTCGTGCCACCAGCTTGATTTTCAGAGGGCAGGTGCTAAGCACTTCCCAAGAAAGCATTTTAAAACGCTTTTAAGATGTCTCAAGTTGGGCACCCAACCATCAGTAATCACATTTGAAAAATGTGTGTTCCTGCACTCCTCAGTGGTCGTAGGCTGCAATTATATCCAGCCTTTATGGAGGTTGGCAAGCGGAAGTAGGCTCATTATGATCACCTTCTCTCCCTGAGCTGCTCTCATTGTAGACAGTTTAGAGCTAAATATTTATCAGCTTCCTCACCCGCTGTACACCATCTAGCCTGCACATAAATATGATTAGAGTTCTTGTAGAATAAAATTTGTGATCAAGAAATTAAAGACCTCCAAGGATTGGTTCTTGGCCCTAGACTGTAACATTTTTATTAATGCCCTGGAAAAAATCTAAAATCACTGATAAACTTAGCAGATCAATAACAATTGGAGGAGTGGTAAATAATGAAGAAGACAGGTCACTGATCAGTGTGATCTGGATTGCTTGGTAACCTAGGCACAAGCAAATCACATGCATTTTAATAAGGCTAATGTAAACATATAAATCTAGGAACAAAGAATGTAGGCCATACTTAGAGAATGAGGGAATCTATCCTGGGAAGCAATGAATCTGTAAAAGATTTAAGGGTTGAGGTGGATAATAGCTGAACATGAGCTCTCAGTGCGACACTGTGGCCAAAAGGGCTAATGCAATCCTGAGATGCATAAACATGGGATCTCGAGTATGAGGAGAGAGATTATTCTATTTGGCTCTGTTGCAACCACTCCTGAAATATGTCCAGCTCTGGTGACCACAGTTCAAGATGGAGATTGATAAATTGGAGAAGGTTCAGAGAAGAGTCATGATAATGATTAAAGGATTAGAAAATATGCCTTATAGTGATTGAACTCTTTGAGTCTATCTGTTTAGCTGGAAAAAAAATCTGTTATATCTACATTTTGTAACTGTTGTTCTTCGAGATGTGTTGCTCAAGTAGATTCCATTCTAGGTGTGCGTGCGCCCACATGCGCAGCCATCGGAGATTTTTGCCTTAGGGCCAGCTATGCCCTCTAGAGTGGCACTCATGCCTCAGTATATCAGGTGCTACCGGCCCACGTGCTCTCAGTTCCTTCTTGCTGACCACTCCAACAGAGAGACAGGACGGCGGGTAATGGAATGGACATAAGCAACACATCTCAAAGAACAACAGTTACGAAAGGTAGGTAACTGTTTTTCCTTCGAGTTCTTGCTCATGAGGATTCCATTCTAGGTGACTTGCAAGCAATATCAATGGAGGTGGGCTCGGAGTTCACCGTCGTGCAGCTTGTAGTACAGCTCTGCCAAAACCAACGTCATCTCGAGCCTGCTGGGTCAGTGCATAGTGCGACACAAATGTATGAACAGACTACCAAGTGGCGGCCTGACAAATTTCTTGGATCGGCACCTGCACCAGGATGTCTGTCGAAGCTGCCTGCGCCCAAGTCAAGTGAGCTGTCACGATTGCCGGCGGGGGCACTTTTGCCAGCTCGTAGCAATAGCGGATGCAGGCCGTGATCCAAGACGAGATTCTCTGGGCTGACTTATGGAATGGCCGTGTTCTGTCAATGTAGAAGGCCAGCGCCCGTCTGACGTCCAGAGTATGGAACCTGCACTCCTCATCTGATGCATGAGGCTTCAGACAGAGGACCGGTAAGTAAATGTCTTGGCCAGCGTGGAACTCAGAAATGACCTTGAGCAGAAAAGCTGGGTGTGGACGCAACTGGACCTTCTCCTTGTAGAAGACCGTATAAGGCGGCTCTGACGTGAGCGCCCTGATCTCGGACACCCACCAGGCGTAAGTTATAGTGACCCAGAAGGACACTTTCCAGGAGAGAAGCAGAAGGGAGCAGGAAGCAAAGGGTTCAAAGGAGGGGCCCATGAGCTTCGAAAGCACAAGATTCAGTTCCCACGGGGGGACCAGGTCCTGGACGTGCAGGTACAGGTGTTTAGACCTTTCAGGAATCGTCCCGTCATGGGATTGGTGAAGACCGACCTGCTCTGAAGCGGAGGGTGGAACGCTGTAACGGCTTCGGTATCTTGACCGAAGACAATGAGGTAAGCCGCTACCGGCGCCATGCATTTCGTGAACATCCTGGGGGCCGAGGACAGGCCAAAGGGCAGCACCGTGAGCTGGAAGTGGCGCCCAGCCACTATGAAAAGCAGGGAAACATCTGTGTCCTGGGAATATGGAGACATGGAAGTAAGCATCCTTTAAGTCAAGAGCTATGTACCAGTCCCCCGGATCTAGGGAGGGGATAATGGAGGCCAGGGAGACCGTGAGGAACTTTAACTTCTTGACAGACTTGTTGAGGCCACACAGGTCCAGGATGGGTCTGAGGTCCCGCTTTGGATCAGGAAGTATCCGGAATAGAATCCTCTGCCTTCCATGTCCCGAGGAACCGCCCCCAACTGCAGGAGCTTGTCAACCTCCTGAACCAGGAGTTGTTCGTGAAAGGGATCCCTGAAGAGGGAAAAGGAGCACAGGGTGGGAAGGAGGGGTATCCAAAACCGGCAGGGTATAGTCCCGAGCTACTATGTCCAGGACCCAGCAGTCTAAGGTAACCTGCGACCAGGCCAAGCGGTAGGGAGAAAGGCGGTTGAGGAAACGATGGGCAGGATCCGGCCGGATGACTGTAGTGTCGCTCTCGAGCGCACCCTCAAAACCATCGCTTTTGGCCCCCCTTGGATTCTTAGTGGGTCCGGGCTCAGATGGCGAGCGAGAATAGGAAGGGTGGCGATGGCTAACCCCAGCGTCCCTTCTTCTTGCAGATCCCTGTCAGGCTTGCCAAGTCCTTGACAGCGGCGGAGGCTGAAATGGCTTTCTGGCAGACTGTGGGGTATGCATGCTCAACGAGCGAAGGGTAGTTTTAGTGTCCTTCAACCGGTGTAGCCTGGCATCTGTCTGATCAGAGAAGAGCCCAATTCTGTCAAAGAGGAGGTCCTGAATAGAGGCCTCCATCTCCTGAGACAGGCCCGCTTGTCTGGAGTCAGGAGCTGCATTGCATGACTACAGCCAATTTGACCACCCTTGCCATCAAGTCCACCAATTCCCATGCCATTTGCAGGGAATATCTGGCAGCCGCAGTCCCTTCTTCTACCAGGGTACCAAAGTCCTGAGCCTGACCCTGAAGAAGAGAGTCCTGGAACTTTTGGAGACTGTCCCAAAGCTCAAAATTATATCGGCCCAACAGGGCCTGATGGCTCGCCACCCGGACTTGTAGGCTGGCTGTGAATAAAGTTTCCTGCCAAATAAATCGAGTTTTTTGGCTTCTTTATTCTTGGGAGTAGCGGCAGTGTGTACCTGCTTCTCCTTTTCATTGGCCGCAGACACAACCAGTGAGCCTGGAGGTGGGTGAGAATAAAGGTATTCAAAACCTTTGGCCGGCACAAAGTGCTTTTTCTCAGCCCATTTCGAGGTGGGCGGGAGGTGGATGGGGTCTGCCACAGCGATTTGGCAATCTTGAGGACCCCGTCGTTTACGGGCAGGGTGACCTGGGCAGGTGTGGAGGCCGAGAGGACATTGAAAAAGGCATCCTCCTGCTCTTCATCCCCTGCACCTCGAGCCCCAAGTTCTTGGCCACCCGCCATAGAAGGACTTGATGCTCCCTAAAGTCATCCCAAGGGCTAGCCCTGGAAGGCCCCACAACCGCCTCATCTGGGGAAGATGAGGAAGACTTGGCCACCGCTGGAGAGGGAGGTTTAGGGGTGGGTACGGGATCCTCTACCCTGACCTCAGAACGGCCTTCCAGTACTGGGCCCAGTGCCGGTGGAGCCGCCGACCTTTGCTCCGACACAGCCACCAAGGTGCGCTGCGAAGGGCACATCATCATTAGAACGCCCCATACTCTCCAATATGGCCACTGTGTTGGCCACTCGCCTTGCTGCCATTGCGGTGCTGTGGACGGCGGAGAAGATTCCGGTGCCCAATCCTGTCGCTGAGATCAGGGCAATGGGCTGAACTGGGCCTCCGTGCCAGAGGAACCACCTTCCAGCGACCAGTAAGGGGCCATTGATGCCTGAGTCTGCTTACTGGTCGAAACTACCGGTGTTCGCTGGCCAGGCATAACTGTCTGGTAACTGTACAAGGGAGAGCGCTCCCAGTGCCGGGGGGACTGGCAATAAGATGAGGAGTGTTCCCAGGGTGCCGGTGATCAGGACTGACATCTAGTGGTAGATCGGCGAGAGGGTGAGCGATGCTGGTGATAGTATGGGGGGGGGGGCGTCGACCCTGTGCTGGAGAGTAGCGCTGAGGAGACTGGGAGCAGAGTCCAGGCGACCGATGAGGAGATTGGGACCTGCCTCGGAATCTTCCACGCAGTGGAGATCATTGATTCTTGTCCGGTGACTGGCAGCGCTCCCCTGCCCCCTGAGGGGTCTTAATGGCGGGATTGCTGTCTCGGGAGCCTTAGCCTGTTCTTGCGGCACTAAAGGCATCATAGGGGCAGGTGGAGACCTGTGCTCTCTCTGCGCCTGGGCTTGGAATGATGATGGTGCAGGCAGGGTTCTGGGTCCCATACCGCTCCCAGGAGTCGTTGGCAGACCTTTAAGGGGGCTAAGTGCCCAGTCGTGGAGGCACGCTCACGTAGCTCCGGAGAAGGCTGACGGGCAGGCCTGGGTCCCTTGCTGAATGTCCCCTGACCCTGGGCCTTCTTGCTTGGTGCCAGAGTGTGCTTCTTAGCCCTCTTTTTTGGTACCATCGATGGCGAACGGTGTCGGGAAGAGGCTGATGCCAGCGGCGCGCTGTGCACGGAGGCCAAGG